TATAAGCCATAGATATGATGCTATATAAGCCATAGATATGATGCTATATAAGCCATAGATATGATGCTATATAAGCCATAGATATGATGCTATATAAGCCATAGATATGATGCTATATAAGCCATAGATATGATGCTATATAAGCCATAGATATGATGCCATATAAGCCATAGATATGATGCTATATAAGCCATAGATATGATGCTATATAAGCCATAGATATGATGCTATATAAGCCATAGATATGATGCTATATAAGCCATAGATATGATGCTATATAAGCCATAGATATGATGCTATATAAGCCATAGATATGATGCTATATAAGCCACAGATATGATGCTATATAAGCCATAGATATGATGCTATATAAGCCATAGATATGATGCTATATAAGGCATAGATATGATGCTATATAAGCCACAGATATGATGCTATATAAGCCACAGATATGATGCTATATAAGCCATAGATATGATGCTATATAAGCCATAGATATGATGCTATATAAGCCATAGATATGATGCTATATAAGCCATAGATATGATGCTATATAAGCCATAGATATGATGCTATATAAGCCATAGATATGATGCTATATAAGCCATAGATATGATGCTATATAAGCCATAGATATGATGCTATATAAGCCATAGATATGATGCTATATAAGCCATAGATATGATGCTATATAAGCCATAGATATGATGCTATATAAGCCACAGCTATGATGCTATATAAGCCATAGCTATGATGCTATATAAGCCATAGATATGATGCTATATAAGCCATAGGTATGATGCTATATAAGCCATAGATATGATACTTTATAAGCCATATATATGATGCTATATAAGCCATAGATATGACGCTATATAAGCCATAGATATGATGCTATATAAGCCCTAGATATGTTGCTATATAAACCATAGATATGAAGCTATATTAGCCATAGATAAGCTATATAAGCCATGGATAAGATGCTGTATAAGCCATAGTTATGATGCTATTGAAGTCATAGTTAGGATGCTATATAGTCAATAGTTAGGATGCTATATAACCCAAACTTTTCGTATTACTTCATTAAACTGCGCAATCTTCATTGACCACAAAATATGTGCAGCTCCTTAGACGTTGCTGTGTGTGTGGGGTGGGTAGGGTGGCTGGGGGATGGTGGCTGGGGTGGCTGGGGTGGCTGGGGGGGGGGTGGGCGGGTACAAAACGGGCTCATATATCAAACCATATTTTTAATTCTTTCCCTTTTAATGGATTTTTAAATACAATAGATGACTGCCCAGGCTGAATCCCACGCGACTATCACAAGACTATCACGAGACTATCACGAGACTTTCAAGTGGAACTTGTTGCTTTTCACGGGTTACTGACTTCTTCTGGTTCACACAGCAACGAGCATGGGCGCCCGCAGGTAGGGGCAAAGGGGGGGGGTGCAATTGCCCCCCCCCCCCAACCTGGATTGATTGGATAAAAATTTTGTTTACAAAAATAGGCAAAAAATTATTAAAGTAAAGAGAAAATAAAGAGAAAGTAACTAAGCTCATGTCCTGTCCGTACGTTCACCATAAAAATACGCTACAGTAAATTAGAACTATATTAAAACATTACTAAAAAAAATTTGCCCCCCCCCCTGGAAAGTTTTCTGCGGGCGCCCATGGCAACGAGTAATATTGAATCTCTTTAGAAATTGATTGAAGTAATTGTTAGGGTTAGGTTATTTCAGCTATTAATTAAATTAAGTTAACATTATTCTTATAGGATCTCTTTTAACTATATATAGAAAGTCTGATCCAGATATCCAAAAAACGTGTACGATCAAGGGAAATAATTTTTTATAGGCGCCCCACGATTTTGAGTCACATATAATTAGCCTTACCAGACGCAGTGTTTGACCGGGACTGTCTCGGTTTACCAGTCTTGTCCCGAACGATTTGAATTTTTGTCCCGGTTTCAATCTCATTTTGGTAAAAATTAATGTGCTCTGTCTAATCTTACTGAATCTTAGATATTCTCGGGCACAATTTAACATCAGAGCTTGGTTGATATAAATATATATATATATATATATATATATATATATATATATATATATATTTAATGACACATTTATTGTAACTATATAATAAATTTAAAATGCGATACGTATTACTGAAATCCTAGAGATGGGATGCAAACCAAACCATCTTTTAGAAGTTTTTGGGTTCGGCTTGTTAACACCTAAATTTCTTCTTCGGTTCAGCAACAACTGAAGTTTGGCGCATTGGGTAATCATTAGCAGTTTGAAATTAGTTACTTTCAATTTAAGTTATAATAAACTACAATTTTATAAACATAATTTCAAGTATTTATATAGTAATGCAGAAATCAGTAAAAGATAAATTTTCTTTTTCTTTAGTAGTACTAGTACACTAGGAATGATAAAACTATTATAACAAATAAATGCTTTGATGGCTACAAGTTAAAGGAAAAAAAAATAGAACAAACTAAATATTAAAAAAATATTTCCATTTGAGCTGTATGTAAGGCTTGGTTGTGCTGTATATAGGGCAGTATTGTGCTGTAAACAGGGCCGTGTTGTGCTGTAAGCAGGGCCGTGTTGTGCTGTAAGCAGGGCCGTGTTGTGCTGTAAACAGGGCCGTGTTGTGCTGTAAGCAGGGCCGTGTTGTGCTGTAAGCAGGGCTGAGTTGTGCTGTATGCAGAGCTGAGTTGTGCTGTATGCAGGGCTGAGTTGTGCTGTATGCAGGGCTGAGTTGTGCTGTATGCAGGGCTGAGTTCTGCTGTATGTAGGACCATGTTTCTATCACGTTGTTTTTTTACTTAGAGACCTTTACGTGAATGACGTCACGCTTTTTTGTTCTGCTATGGACCACCCCACCCCGCATTTTTTCCTCACCCCGTCACACAATATATATTTTTAAAAAAAAAGAATTTCTCTCTCCTCCATTTCCATTTTGTGTGTTGATGGAGCGTTATTTTATTTATTTTATTGTTTACACACGTGCCCTTTTAAGATTTCTCGTGCAGTGTTTACTTGGTAAATGGCTGTGAAACTGGGTCTTTGCTGACCGAGTCTGCTTCGTGGTTGAGTGAACCGGTTAGTTGGTAAGGTCAGATCTATTTTTATTTTTTTAGTTGTATGCCTTGATATAGAGTTAAGTCCCTTCCACCGGGATTTTGTAATCATTCGATTAAAAAAAAATATTAAAATAATTCTACTTTTGTCAGTAGCAAATATAGGTAGCAAATAAAAAGTATTGAAAAATAAATAAAAACATAATTTTAAAAATATTTTCTATAAAAAACAAGTTTATATGCACTAAAAAGTAGAAAATAATTTGGGATTTTCTTTGTTTGTTTTTTTTGTTGTTGTTTTTTTAACACTGTCAACAGGCGGTAAATATAAAATTAACTTCCGCTTTCGATTATATGATTTTAATATTTTATCACGCTCACTCCCAATACTCACAGCTTTAACTTTAAAAATATTTTACCACTATAACTATAATCTAGATTCTAGGAGACGACACACTTTTGGGGAAGTCAGTGTTATTGTTGAAATGTCTTTTTCTGGAGCAACATTTAAAACGGTAATATTTTGTTTATTGTTAATGAGTTAATGGATCGTAGTAACAGTAACATCATTTAAATCATTTCATTGAATATTGAATACTTAATTATAATTTACACTAAAATTAAAAACGAAAAAAATACGTAAGCTTAATTAATTAATGACTTAATAATTTAAACGTAAAATTAATTAAGAAGGCTACACAGTTAAGTTAATTATTAATATTATTTTCTTCCTTAAATTTTAAGCTAAGTTCCTTCTTCTTGTCTTGACGGCTTGACGGTCTCAGTGGAGTGAGTTTCCTTAGACTTAGTGAACTTAGTCACTTAGACTTAGTGACTGTGACTAAAAATTAGTGTCTTCTTCTGATCTAACTCTTACTCTTACTTAGTAGAATGTCACACTCTAATGAGTCACAGTGACTGTCAGTGTCAAGTCATCCCGCAGCTACCCAATTTTTGTGTTTTACTAATCCTTTACTTTTCAAAAAACCTAGTTTTGGCTTGATTTTAGTTAATAATATTAATATTATTATTACTAATTAGTCAGTATGATAAATATAAATGGCCATGGCTTACTTTGTTTACATATAAAAATATATATAATACAAATAACAAGTATAAAGAAATTAAATTGCCTATGTTACCTGTCGGGTAGGCTAGGGCAAGAAGCGCCCTATGACTATGGCCTAAGCATAATCTATACTACAATTCAATAGGTAGAATGCAATGCTTCCTTCCTCACACAAGCCTAAGCCTATTGGGTTGAACATAGACATAGGCTTAGCGGTTTCATCAAAACCATTTTCAACAGTAGACAGTATATTTATATCTCAACTATAATTTAAATGCAAGTTCGTTCACCTTTTTTTTTTTTTTACAGTCTGTGACTACCATAGACTATCATAAGGACCGCACAGCCTCATTTTGTTACCCTAAATGTCCCTATTCTCTTACTTTCATTTTAGAAACTGCTGTTACTTTATTGCGATAAAATACATTTAAAATAGTTTGTTTTTTTTCTTCACTTTTAGGCCTATAAATAGTCAACTTGAATCAAATTTACTCTTGGGATGAAAAACCTTTTTTTTTAAAATCAAATTTACTCTTGGGATGAAAAACCTTTTTTTTTTTATACAATCCTTAAAATCATGATTAAAAATTATTTTTCCCTCTTACTTTGCTTATATTGGAATTTCAATAAAGTTTCAAATTGAGTGAACTAAGAAATTTTATTAAAAACTTAAGAGCAAACTATATGATGGTTACTTTAGTTAGGCTGCTTCATTTCAACTGTTTTTTTTTTTTAATCAGCTGTTTATCTCTCCAATGAAAAATAAAAAATTTGACAGTTTTTCACTTATGCTTTTTAACTTCCATCAATTACGTATTTAGATCATGTCACTTCAGCATTAAATAAGGTTTGTCCATTATTGTTACGGTACCATGTTTAAAAATTCATTGCTTTACAATAAATTTGGTTAAAATAAGTGCCCTAAAATTTTTCACACATTTCTAAACAGTGATTAACAAACCTGTTGAACTTTGGTAGAAAACCAAAGAATCATTACCTTATCTTTTGGAAACTATGTTTTTTTACTTCAAATATTTTTTGAACTCATCTTCAAATGACCGTTAAAATTAAAGCCCAAACCTCAGCTTTATGAAACATTATTAAATGAATTTTTGTTTTCTTAGATGCTATTGTACCAGCAATAGTTTAGAGAGCAGATCACTGATCAAAATGTGTTGTAATTATTACAAAACTACTACAATGACAGGCTGTATTGCTATATTATATTAAATTATTTATTAAAACATGTAATGAACCTTTGATCTCCTTGTAATATAAAGTACAAACATAATAGGTAGGCTCATTAGTCAACTTTTTCAAGCAAACCCCTTGTCCACATGGGGTGACATCAAATTGGACAATTGCAAATTTAACAGAGATTTTCAATCAGGTTTCATAAAAAATCATGGATGATAGAAAGGAAATGAGTGAAAAAAAGTATGGGAAAACCTGAAAAGTGGAATGCAACAAAACAATGAATGTGTTGGCAGAAGGCTTCATCAGCGAACAAACAACATTAAAAACAGAATTAAATAAAAGATAACACTTAGCTGAAATGTAGTACCGATCGGGCAGCTAGAGGATTGTGCTAAATCTAAACGACCCTTTAAGTGTGACTTGTTCAGACTTAATGCTAAGCTACCCAAGTTGACCTTATTCCTTGCCATTACATTTTTAACAATTGATAAGAGCTGGATGTCGTACCGCCCTCACCGGTAGTTTATAATCTTACAGTGATGAAGAATTTATAAACCAAAGTTTCAAGTGAAAAACTCATTATTCCTTGACCCTGATTGGTCAATTAAGTATGTTTTGTTATCTGATTGGTCAATTAAGTATGTTTTGTTATCTGATTGGTCTATTAAGTATGTTTTGTTATCTGATTGGTCTATTAAGTATGTTTTGTTATCTGATTGGTCTATTAAGTATGTTTTGTTATCTGATTGGTCTATTAAGTATGTTTTGTTATCTGATTGGTCTATTAAGTATGTTTTGTTATCTGATTGGTCTATTAAGTATGTTTTGTTATCTGATTGGTCTATTAAGTATGTTTTGTTATCTGATTGGTCTATTAAGTATGTTTTTTTATCTGATTGGTCTGTTAAGTATGTTTTGTTATCTGTTTGGTCTGTTAAGTATGTTTTTTTATCTGATTGGTCTATTAAGTATGTTTTGTTATCTGATTGGTCTATTAAGTATGTTTTGTTATCTGATTGGTCTATTAAGTATGTTTTGTTATCTCAGCTATTTGATGGAATCATAAATATCAATAGTCATTTTCATGCTTCAACTTTAAACAACTTCTAAAGGCCCTTCTCTGCAATAAACTTAGCTGGGTCTAGGTTACATGGGTCAAACTCAAGGCCCTCGGGCCACATCCGGATTGCCATACAATTATATCAGACCTGCAAGGTCTTGACCGGCGTTCAATTATATCCATGTCAACGCTATGGTGTTTCCCAATGCACACTTTGCTGAAAAACTCAGCTTACTTCGCTTTAGTGACTTTGAAGTACAGAAATGTAATTTTGAGCTATTTTGTAACCCAGTTGTCATAGATGTGGAAACTGCACCTGTAAATATGCAGATGGAGCTAATAGAGCTGCAGCGTAATGGGACACCAAAGGCAAAGTACGACACAGTTGAGCCTGCACAGTTCACTCGTTTCAATCCTGAAGAGATGCCCCAGCTTCATCTACATGCGTCTTGAACCTTGAGCATGTTGTGTAGCACATATATGTGTGAGCAGCTGTTTTCTGTGATGAAGATTAACAAAACACCTCACAGGAGTTGTCTCACTGAAGAACACTTGCAGTCCATCATGAGAATCTCAATGACACAGAACGTTACTACCAACATAAACGAACTTACTTGTTTTTGTAGCCAAGAAAATGTGCCAAACATCAGCTCTAACAAATTGGCATTAGCACGAAAATGGGTATGCCAATGATTTTTAATTATTAAAACTTATTTTCTGTTTACATTAATTTATTTAAATGTTTTTAAAAAAAGACTAATTTTCCGCTTATTGACTGTTTATCATGTCCGGCCCGCAACCTTACACGTGATTTGAGTTATGGCCTGCCGAGCGATTGAGTTTGACACCGCTGGTCTAGGTGGTTAAATCTTTATACAACTTACCTGGGTCTAAGTGATTATATCTTATATAAATTTCCAATTTTAGCCTGAAGATATTGATTTTAAAATCAGCTAGAGCAGCGGTTCCCAACCTCAAGGGACCGTTTTAAAATCCATTTCTATGGGGGAGTCCCTTATGCCTACACTATGTCTTAAAAGTTAATGGTGTTACGAAGTTTACTTAAGCTGCCGCGAGTCCTGAGAAGTGGGAAGTACACATTTCGAACCAATGAAATAGAGAGTCTGATGAATTTCATACAGCGTCTTAAGCTCATCTATCATTCTGTCCTTCTCAATCGCCTTTGAACTTTTAAAGCTGTTCCTAAAGCTCAAAGCATATTATGTTTTTATAATTTCTGAATTCTGTTGATCTTTTTATATGAAATAACATTAATTTCCAATGCCTTACTTAAATGTTATCAAATGTTCTTGTATGTTGCTACAACTTTGTTGTAGGCAGCAACCAAACTCAGTGCAACATGTTATTTAAACCACAAGTCTGTAGTTATCTTAATGACAGAGCTGTATTTTAAAAAATATCCAAGCTATTATAATTGTCAATGTGTTTTCAAACTCATAAGGATAAAAATATTATTTGCCTTATTTATGAATGTTTTGTTTTCCAACATATTCTATTCATACAACTATTCTCTTATATGATGCATTCAAAATAATTTTAGGATTGAAAAAATGGCCAATTCCAATAAGTACTGGCATATGATAATCAAGCTATAAAAAATTCATTTTCAATTTAAACATTGTGTAAGTCTAAAGGGGTACATTTTTCATCTAGGGTCCTTTTACCAATAGATAGCTGACAAGCAATGGAAAATATAAAGGCCTTCAACCAGTAGAGGAAAGATTATTATCCCACAAACAAAACTAGGAGTAACTTTGCTGGAAGAATTATTTAAAGCAAAATGCATTTGTCAAAAAAAAATTATTAATTTGAATATGCATCCCACCCACTTCATGAATGACAGTTAGCTGTACTTACGATCAGCTTGTTCAGCGTGAATTCTTTACCTCAAAGAAAGGACGTAAAGGCATAAACATTCCTTTTGTGACATCGGATGGCAGGACAAAGTGACTAACACAGAGGTTTTGGAACACTCCAAAATGTGTAGCATGTTCTCCACTCTTTCTAAGAGGAGATGCCTTTGCTGGTTAGGCCTTATCCCAAAGAGAGGAGGTGCCTTTGCTGGTTAGTCCTTATCCCAAAGAGAGGAGGTGCCTTTGCTGGTTAGTCCTTATCCCAAAGAGAGGAGGTGCCTTTGCTGGTTAGTCCTTATCCCAAAGAGAGAAGGTGCCTTTGCTGGTTAGGCCATATCCCAAAGAGAGCAGGTGCCGTTGCTGGTTAGGCCATGTCCCAAAGTAATGGAGAGTTGACAGGGGGGGGGGGCGCACAATTTATTGGATGGCTGTGGCTACGCTTCACGGATGTTTGCAAAAGGAACAGGAGGGAAGCTAGCATAGCAATCAGTGAATGGGAGATCATCGCTGGTAACTTTTGCAACACTGTGTGAGGGAATCAAATAGGCCGGAGATGCATAGAATGAAGGTCTTACAACAAAAATAGCATTATGTTAGGCCATAGTTAACCAGAATGAATGGTTCTCCTGCGAGAAGTGCAGCCGAGACTGCCATTCGATGATCTGTCTCATAAGCCTTTTGATGAAGTGTCAATAACCTACTCCGTCCTCTCACAAAGATGGAATGATGTCATATTAAGCTTAATTGAAAATGACAATGCATACAATGTATGCATGCCAATTAATTAAAGAAACCCTCCCTTATATTGTCTTCATTAAATGATGAAATGAGTTGAACAAATATTTTAGAATTCTTTTAGGAACTGACATTGTAAAACTTGTTCATTTTTTAATAAATTAATTGACTGTCTTATCTTATCTTCATACTATGTTACAATGTTAAGACATCTTATGACAATGTTATGACATCTTATGACAATATTATGACATCTTTTATCATCTATTTTTATGTTGTAATCTTTTTCCTATCTTACGATTATTTGATTCCAAAAATTGTTTCAGAAAGCAGTCTCAGAAGTCATTAGTCAACATTTTAAAGATGAAAAGGTGACAGGTATGAATTGAAATAAAGTATACTTTAGTAAATGATGAATTGAAATAAACTATACTTAAGTAAATGATGAATTGAAATAAACTATACTTAAGTAAATGATGAATTGAAATAAACCATACTTTGGTAAATGATGCCTTGAAATAAACTATACTTAAGTAAATGATGAATAGAAATAAACTATACTTTTAGTAAATGATGAATTGAAATAAAGTATATAGTAAATGATGAATTGAAATAACTTATACTTTAGTAAATGATTAATTGAAATAAACTATACTTAAGTAAATGATAAGTTGAAATAAACTATACTTTAGTAAATGATGAATATAAATAAAGTATAATTTAGTAAATGATGAATTTTAATAAGTATACTTTATACATTTAAGTAGGATCCTGATCATCATCAGTGGCGCCACAGCCCATGCAGAGCCCTGGCCTGCTCCACCACATCCGTACATTCGGATCGATCCATGGCTTTCCATCTCCATGCACAAACCCCCAACTGGTGTAAATCCTTTTCTACATCGTCAATCCATCTCAGCCTTGGACGGCCGGTGAGCCGTCTGCCTCTAGGCTTCTACCTGTATATCACTTTTGCTGCTCTACAATCTGGCATCCTTTCAATATGTCCTGCCCAGCGCAGTCTGCCTTTTTTTATTGTTGCAACTATGGGTGGGTCTTTGTACAATTGGTATAGCACTTGGTTTGTATGGATTCTCCAGACATCATTGTCTATCACAGGGCCATATATTTTCCTGAGCATGTTGTCTGCTTTTCTGGTAAGGGACCAAGTCTCTCTAGTGTGAGTTACTACTGGCCTTATGATCGTGGTATTTAATATTGTCCTCTTTGTTCCCTTGAGAAGTTTTTGCTTCCCAGTAGCTTTTGTAGGCTGAAATAGGAACGGTTGCCTGCCGTTATCCTTTCTTTCACCTCTGACATTATTTCATTGTGCTCGTTTATAATCGCCTCTAGGTATTTGAAAGTAGCCACTCTCTCAAATAGATCTCAATATTGTATATCAGCTTTCTGTACATTTTTCAATATCTTCAAATGTTACTGGTCTTATTTAAGCTGTATTGAAATACAGAGATCGCTGGTGAACTGCCCCTGTCATCTTCTTTATTTTTATCATAAAATATGCCATAGAGTATCGTCATACAAACACAGACTGACCTCTGTCACACCATGAAAACAATACTGACCCCTGTCACACCATGAAAACAATACTGACCTCTGTCACATCATGAAAACAATACTGACCCCTGTCACATCATGAAAACAATACTGACCCCTGTCACACCATGAAAACAATACTTATTGACTTAATTACTTATTTTTGCTCCCAAAAAAACCAACACAATCATCATCTTTAATTTTTACACTACAGTCAGCTTATCCCGATGAAGTACCTGCCGATAAATTGTCCTGCTACCTGAGAAATAATGCCGCGCACCAAGGATATTTGGTGTCCAATTTTTCAGTCTCTTTCTTACAATTGAAACAATATCTAAACTTAAATCTACAATAATTGATTCTCTTATTCAATGACTCAGTGAAAGGAAGTGCTCTAGTCCTGGTCACAGAGCTTCTCAGGATATTTACTAAAGGTAAACTTGATCTTTGGATTTATTGCAATTTAATTTCTTTTGAAACCAGGAAACCAGAGTCACAGTGCTTTTTTAATATTAATGTAATACTAGATTTAGAATGCATTAATCTCTTTCAATGATTAAATTCAGACTTTTTTTTATATAGTAATACTAGATTTAGAATGCATTAATCTCTTTCAATGATTAAATTCAGACTTTTTTTATATAGTATTAATAGATTTAGAATACATTAAACTCTTTAAATTATTAAATTCAGACTTTTTTATATAGTAATAAAAGATTTAGAAGACATTAAACTCTTTAAATCAGGCCTGCACAACATATGTCCAGCGGGCCGAATGTGGCCGGAAGTCTGCGAAGTAACGAAATATTCTTTATTATTATTATTTTATTAATAGCTTTCCCCCTGTCTTAGCATCATTCGGCCCGCACAAGCTTTTCATAAAGTAATATTGCCCGCACAGGATTTTCATAAAGTATTACGGCCCGCCTTACATTTTGAGTTGTGCAGGCCTGCTTTAAATGATTAAATTAAGAATTTTTTTAATTAGTAATAATCGATTTAGAATACATTGAACTCTTTAAATGGTTAAATGCAGACTTTTTTTATATAGTAATTATAGATTTCGAATACATGAAACTATTTAGTTATTAAGTTCAGAATTTTGATAATAATTAAAACTTTCTACCATAAAGTATTTTGTGATCATTACATAACTGGCATTACTAGAGAATTGCTATATAAGTGCTCAAAATGGCAGTGGATATATATTAGGCCAATGTATATATATATATGCAAATATTTTATATAAATCTATAAGGATTCTTGAAAAATGTTAAAATAATTTATGAATTCAAAATTCTCATCTTCCCTCTTATAATATTGGATACATAAATATATAAATATAGTATTAGTAATATATATTATAGCCAAGTGTTTATTCACAGAAGCCCTATCAAGAGCTGCGGACCAGGCTAAGGTGGGTCATTTATGTTTACAGAAGTCACAATTTGTTTTTTTGAAAGGTTCATCAAGAACAAATGACTATTCCAATTTTTAAAAAGATGTAACTACTGTAATTCAACATCTGATAGATGATCCTTCAATATCTCTTTATGATTTAGGGAAATATATACAGATTTGATGGAATTCTCGTACCAATATAATGTGTGGTGAGGCTGCGCGTATCTGTTGTTGTTATTATAAATGAGGGATTTAGTGTAGGTTTTATTTTGTGACTGGAGCTCAAGTAAATCTAAACAAGGGACAGAGTGGTGGAGTGTTGGGGAACAATGTCTTTACTATTGCCCATTTGACATCTTATTAACTATGCATAAGAATTGCGTGTACAAGCAATTTAACAGGTAGCATAGTTGGGCAACAAAGCTGTAATAGAGTGGGACCACAAAGCTGGTAGAAGAATGGGGCAACATAGCTGAAATAGAGTGGGGCCACAGAGGTGGTAGAAGAATGGGGCAACATAGCTGTAATAGAGTGGGACTACAAAGCTGGTAGAAGAATGGGGCAACATAGCTGAAATAGAGTGGGGCCACAGAGGTGGTAGAAGAATGGGGCAACATAGCTGAAATAGAGTGGGGCCACATAGGTGGTAGAAGAATGGGGCAACATAGCTGTAATAGAGTGGGGCCACATAGGTGGTAGAAGAATGGCGCAACATAGCTGTAATAGAGTGGGGCCACATAGGTGGTAGAAGAATGGGGCAACATAGCTGTAATAGAGTGGGGCCACATAGGTGGTAGAAGAATGGGGCAACATAGCTGTAATAGAGTGGGACCACAAAGCTGGTAGAAGAATGGGGCAACATAGCTGTAATAGAGTGGGGCCACATAGGTGGTAGAAGAGCGAGGCAACATAGCTGATAGAAGCAGAAGAATGGGGCAAAATTGTAATCAAGTTTTTTAAAAATTTGAAGTACAAATTATATATTACTATTACAAATATTTTTATTAATTTATTTTAAAACTTTGGAGCTTGAAAGAAAGAAATTTGACTAGCACCGCTTCAGAAAAAAGATCCGCTCTGAACTCCAAGCTCCGCTTCATCAAAAAGACCCAGCTCCAAGCTTTGCTCCAAATCCCTATTTTTAATGACATTTTGCTCCATGATATAATTTTGTAATAACCATAGGTGTTTAAAAAAATGTTACATTCATTGTTCTGATACATTTTGTTTAAGAATGAGGGAGACCAAAGAGTGACAATAGAACACTTGGAGAAAGTCCTACCACAGCTTGTAAGGGTTTTTAGACACATTCTTAGAGTTTGCTCTAGATCTCATTTGTAGGACTTATTAGCATCTTTTTGTCAGAAACTTTTGAAGAACACAATTTAATATAGTATTATTATTATTAAACTTTGTTAATTGAATATTGAATGATTATGGTAGAATGTGGAGATTATGGAGATCTGAGATAAGTTCTTAACAACCTTTGAGAGACTTGTTGGATGACATTGGCTGGCTGCTAGTTATGATGACATTGGCTGGCTGCTAGTTATGACATTGGCTGGCTGCTAGTTATGATGACATTGGCTGGCTGCTAGTTATGATGACATTGGCTGGCTGCTAGTTATGATGACATTGGCTGGCAGCTAGTTATGGTGACATTGGCTGGCTGCTAGTTATGATGACATTGGCTGGCTGCTAGTTATGATGACATTGGCTGTCTGCTAGTTACGATGACATTGGCTGTCTGCTAGTTACGATGACATTGGCTGGCTGCTAGTTATGATGACATTGGCTGGCAGCTAGTTATGATGACATTGGCTGGCAGCTAGTTATGATGACATTGGCTGGCTGCTAGTTATGATGACATTGGCTGGCAACTAGTTATGATGACATTGGCTATCAGCTAGTTATGATGACATTGGCTGGCTGCTAGTTATGATGACATTGGCTGTCAGCTAGTTATGATGACATTGGCTGGCTGCTAGTTATGACATTGGCTGGCTGCTAGTTATGATGACATTGGCTGTCAGCTAGTTATTATGATATTGGCTGGCAGCTAGTTATGACATGTTTTTATGGTCTGTATTTTTATTCAATTTGCTGAAACAACAGAATCTGTCCGATGTCATCACAGAAAATTTCAATGTTCACTATCTTTCAGCTTCTGGACATGTGATATGATTTGAGAACCCTCAACTCTGCAATTCTAGTGATCCAACTAACTCGTGCCGTCTGCTTGCTCTAATAACATTTCTTGTTTAAATTATTAAAAATATTTTTATCCTTGGACTTCGAGCTCTTATTATTTTGTTATTGTATTTAAGGATTTTTCTCTAACTCTAAATGACGTAAACAGGACTTTAGCTCTACAAGTTTTGAACATGTCCAGAGATATTATTCACATCAGATTTATTTTAACCTTCTGCTTCTTCTATATCTTAAGTGCCCACGCTCAATTTATTGATCATTTTGGCTCCTATGCATGTAGATGGGATATGCAATGTTTCTGTTCCTGGTGTTGATGAGGAAATTTCACTGATTTCCAGTGCCACTTTGTGAGGAAGTCATGCACTAGGGGTTTGAAGGCTTGAGACAATAGACACAAATGTGTCTAGTGTTGTCGCCTCAACCGTTCCTTTTGAAAGCTTGTTCCAGTCCCTGATTGTCTTGGGCAGGAATGAGCAGCTCCTATACTGGCTTCTTGCTGGTATGAGCCTGAATTGCCAGTCATGGCCTTGTCGCTGTCTATGGGGGAGAGGGACGAGTTTCTGTTTAATACTGGAACAGTGGACCAACCCATTATTTATCTTGTACATCATGGAGAGCCTGGATTGTCGTCGTCGTTCCTCCAATGGTGACCAGCCTAGTGTTTCTAGCATGCTGCCACACTAGAGTTATTCCTGTAGCAGTTTAGGACAAAGCGTGCTGCTCGTCGCTGGACCGCCTCCAACCTGTCAACGCTCTTCTGGGTAAATATGTCCCAGACTGAAGATGCATAATCTAAAAAAGGACGGACAAAGGCTTTATATGCTCTTTCTTTCACACAGGAGTTGCCAATCTTTAGAATTCGCCTTAAGAACCCCAAGGCTTGGTTACATACATTGTTAATATGCTCGTCCCAGCGGACTTCTCTTTGAATCGTAACACCAAGGTACTTTACTGAGGAAACTGGCTCAAGCATATGGCAATGCAGTTCGTATTGGTAGTGTAGAGGAGTACAACTTCTAGAGACTGATAGTGTCTGGCACTTGGCAGGGTGAAATTCCATGTCCCAGCTCATCTGCCACTCAGCTAACAGATTGAGATCCTGTTGTAGCTGGTCCTGGTCAGATCTGTTGGCGATCATCCTATACACTGCTGTGTCATCTGCGAACAGTCTTGCTTGTGATGTCAGTTCAATTCCATTTATTTAATGGAAAAATCTTCCCTCACTGAATGTCAAGTTGTGATCATGTTCTGGTCAACCTTGCAAAAAGTCCAGTAGGAATGCCTGCCATTGACCAAGCTCCATTCTTAGTCCCAAACATTGCTGAGATTATTGTTATCTGAAGTCTATGAAGGAAAAATTCTTAATGAGTTGTAATGTCAGAAATCTCAATGAAGTATTTATCAATAACCATCTCATGAACATGTGCTGAACTGCCAGGTTGACATTACCATCTGATGAACACATTCCAGGTAATACAATGTGTATTATCTTAAGAGATTTAACTACAGTTATAAAGTTTTGAAACATTTCCAAGCTAAAATGCAAAATCTAATGTATGTACCCAGTAGCCTACTTATTTAACCAAGTCTTAGTGGATGAATGTGGGAGAAGCAAGCCTGGACTCGTCAATGGATGTAGTGCCATGGATGAATGTGAGAGAAGCAAGCCTGGACTCGTCAATGGATGTAGTGCCATGGATGAATGTGGGAGAAGCAAGCCTGGGCTCGTCAATGGATGTAGTGCCATGGATGAATGTGGGAGAAGCAAGCCTGGACTCGTCAATGGATGTAGTGCCATGGATGAATGTGAGAGAAGCAAGCCTGGACTCGTCAATTGATGTAGTTCCATGGATGAATGTGCGAGAAGCAAGCCTGGACTCGTCAATGGATGTAGTGCCATGGATGAATGTGAGAGAAGCAAGCCTGGGCTCGTCAATGGATGTAGTGCCATGGATGAATGTGAGAGAAGCAAGCCTGGGCTCGTCAATGGATGTAGTGCCATGGATGAATGTGAGAGAAGCAAGCCTGGACTCGTCAATGGATGTAGTGCCATGGATGAATGTGAGAGAAGTAAGCCTGGACTCGTCAATGGATGTAGTGCCATGGATGAATGTGAGAGAAGCAAGCCTGGGCTCGTCAATGGATGTAGTGCCATGGATCAATGTGAGAGAAGCAAGCCTGGGCTCGTCAATGGATGTAGTGCCATGGATGAATGTGAGAGAAGCAAGCCTGAGCTCATCCGTGGATGATGGGGATAATTTATAGATAAAGATGCAGGGCTTGTAAAATTATTTCAAGTTGATCATTGATACCTAGTCCACTGGTGTATTAGTGTTAGTGGTCATTTGATACCTAGCTCACTAGTGTATTAGTGGTCATTTAATGTATACTTGGCTCAATGGTGTATTAGTGGTCATTTAATGTATACTTGGCTCACTGGTGTATTAGTGGTCATTTAATTTATATTTGGCTCACTGGTGTATTAGTGGTCATTTAATGTATACTTGGCTCACTGGTGTAATAGTGGTCATTTAATGTATACTTGGCTCACTGGTGTATTAGTGGTCATTTAATGTATACTTGGCTCACTGGTGTAATAGTGGTCATTTAATGTATACTTGGCTCACTGGTGTATTAGTGGTCATTTAATGTATACTTGGCTCACTGGTGTAATAGTGGTCATTTAATGTATACTTGGCTCACTGGTGTATTAGTGGTCATTTAATGTATACTTGGCTCACTGGTGTATTAGTGGTCATTTAATGTATACTTGGCTCACTGGTGTAATAGTGGTCATTTAATGTATACTTGGCTCACTGGTGTAATAGTGGTCATATTTCAGACTGAGTGAGTTGTCCAACTATGTCATTCATTCAGACTGAGTGAGTTGTCCAACTATGTCATTCATTCAGACTGAGTGAACTGTCCAACTATGTCATTCATTCAGACTGAGTGAGTTGTCCAACTATGTCATTCATTCAGACTGAGTGAGCTGTCCAACTATGTCATTCATTCAGACGGAGTGAGCTGTTCAACTATGTCATTCATTCAGACTGAGTGAGCTGTCCAACTATGTCATTCATTCAGACTGAGTGAGCTGTCCAACTATGTCATTCATTCAGACTGAGTGAGCTGTCCAACTCTGTCACCCCTTCAGACTGAGTGAGCTGTCCAACTCTGTCACACATTCAGACTGAGTGAGCTGTCCAACTCTGTCACCTCTTCAGATTTAGCGAGCTGTTCAACTCTGTCACCCCCTCAGACTTAAATATATCCACCATATTTGTTACCCCCTCCCACACACACACACATACGCGATGCATACGCACCAAGATGAGAACCACTGACATAACCTGAATTTAATGTAAACTGTAGGTCACTTATGAAATGATTTCTTTGAACTACGGGGTACTTCCAAAAGGAAAGAACCTTTTAATTAAAATTTAATGAAATTCAGCTAATTATCTTGAATTATTTTCTTGTGTTTAGATCAAAGCTGCCCTGTCTCGGTGCACACGTTGTAGAAAAACTCGACCACTTTTCCCCCGAGTGCTATGTAAGAAGTCAAAGTATGTTTGAAGTTTGTTATTTCATTTGTTGATTGTTTTGTTTGCTTTCATTTTGTTGATTGTTTTGTTTGCTTTCATTTGTTGATTGTTTTGTTTGCTTTCATTTGTTGATTGTTTGGTTTGATTTCATTTGTTGATTGTTTTGTTTGTTATTTCATTTGTTGATTGTTTTGGTTGCTTTCATTTGTTGATTGTTTTGTTTGTTATTTCATTTGTTGATTGTTTTGTTTGCTTTCATTTGTTGATTGTTTTGTTTGTTATTTCATTTGTTGATTGTTTTGTTTGCTTTCATTTGTTGATTGTTTTGTTTGATTTCATTTGTTGATTGTTTTGTTTGTTATTTCATTTGTTGATTGTTTGGTTTGATTTCATTTGTTGATTGTTTTGTTTGCTTTCATTTGTTGATTGTTTTGGTTGCTTTCATTTGTTGATTGTTTTGTTTGTTATTTCATTTGTTGATTGTTTTGTTTGCTTTCATTTGTTGATTGTTTTGTTTGCTTTCATTTGTTGATT